TTATGTTGCTGGATTCAATTTGATAATATTTTGTTAAAGATTTTTGCATGTCCATGAGGAATATTAGTCTGTAGTTTCCTTTTCTTATAATGTTTGTCTAGTTTTGATATGAGGGTAATCATGACCTCATAAAATGAGTTAGGAAGTTTTCCCTCCTCCTCTATTTTTTAAGAAGAGCCCTGGTGGCACAGTGGTTAAGCACTCCACTGCAACCCGAAAGGTCAGCAGTTTGAATCCACCAGTGGCTCCATGGGAGAAAATACCTATCTGCCTAGGAAACCCTATGGGCAGTTCTACTCTGTGATTTATAGGGTCGCTATGAGTTGAGGGCAGTTCTACACTGTCATTTATAGGGTTGCTGTGAGTTGGAAACAACCCGACAGCACACCACGACTATTTTTTGAACAATTTTTTGTAAGATTATATTTTCTTTAAATGTTTGACAGAACTCAATAGTAAAGCTATCTAAGCCTGGAGGGTTTTTGTTTGTAGGAAGGATTTTAAATATTAATCCAATTTGTTTAAAGATCTAGGGTGAGTCAGATTTTCTATTTCTTCTTGTCAGTTTTGGTAATTTTTGTTCATTTGTTTGGTAATTTGTATCTTTCAAGGAATGTGTTTCATCTAAGTTGTTAAACTTATCAGCATAAAGTTATTCATGATATTTCTTTAATGTCTGTAGGATATGTAGTGATATTTCTTTTTTCATTCCTGGTGTTGGCAATTTGTGTCACTTTCTTTTTTTTTTTTTTTTCCTTGACTAGACTAGAGGTTGATCCAGCATACTGATTTTATTTCAAAGAATCAGTTTTTGGTTTCACTGATTTTTGCTACTATATGTCTATTTTCTATTTCATTGATTTCTGCTATTGTCTTTACTATTTCCTTCCTAGTACTTACTCTGGATTTAATTTACTTTTATTTTTCTAGCTTTTTAAAGCTGGAAGCTGAGATCCTTGATTTTAAAACTTTCTTTTTCAATATAAGCATTTAAAGCTATATATTTTGCTCTAAGCACTGCCTTAGCTGCATTCCACAAACTTTGAATGTTGAGTTTTCATTATTACTTAGTGAAACATATTTTCTAGTTTTCCATGTAATTTATTCTTTGATCCATGGGTTATTTACAAGTATGTTATTTAATTTTTAAAACTCCCAGATATTTGATTATTAATTTCTACTTTAATTCTGTTGAGGCCATAGAAGGTATTCAGTATGATTTCAATCCTTCTAAATTCACTGAGACTTATTTTATGGTCCATTATTTGGTATGTCTTAGTGAATATTCCTAGTACACTTGAAAAGAGTATTTATTTTGGTGCTTTTCAGTGTACCATTCTACATATGTCAAACAGATCAAGTTCACTGATAGTATTCCAGTCTACCATAGCTTTACCACCTTTCTGCCTACTTGTTTAAGGGTACTATGCAATATCTTTTTTATCTACTCTTTTTTCTGAAATTTATTTCACCTGTTATTAGTATCTACTTTGAATTTCCTGTGATTAGTATTTGAAATAGTATAACTTTCCCCCTTCATTTTACTCTTAATCTCATTATGTTTAGATTTTCTTTTAAATTCTTGAGTATATTTATAATTGCTATTTTAAAACTCTTCATTGGTCTGTGGTTTTTCTTCTGGTTCTGTGCCACATTTTATGGCTTCTTTTGCATGTCTTGTAATGATTTTGTTGTCTTCCTTTAAAGAGTGCTGAGTTTTGCTTTGGCAGAAAGTTAATTGTGGCTCAATTTGATTCTTTTGAAGTTTGTTTTTAACATTTATCAGGGCAAGTCTAGTTCAGCCCTACTAACAAGGTGTGACCTTTCTGGAGTCTCTATTGAATGTTCCAGATGTTCAATGAGCTTTCTCCACTCTGGATGGTTCAAACTTCTCCCAGTCTCATTGAGCTCTGGCAATTTTTCAGCTTACAGCTTCCCAGTAATTGTTCTTTACTACTTAGATGTTCTTTGCCCAGTTTTGTAGAGTCTCACCCGTGCATATATACATAATTTAGTATTCAGCCAAGTCTACACAGATTTCTGCAGTCCTTTTTTTGAGTAGTTCTCCCTCACCAGCCACACAGTCTAGTCATCTAAGTTTCTCAGAACTCTGATCTCTTTCTCTGTAGATCAGCAAGATATTTGTGCTTTGCCTGGGCACCCTCTCCTTGCGCCATTATCTGGAAAATGCCTCCAGGCAAAAAGCCTGGTAATCACAGGGCTCACCTCATTTATTTCACTTTTCTTAGGCTTTAGTCCTGTGCTGCATGTAATCCTACATCTCAAACTGGTTGTTTTATATATTTTGCCAGTTATCTAGTTGTTTTACAGCAAGACAGCAAGTATGATATCATGATCAGAAGCAGAAGTCTGTTTGATTTTTAAATTTGTATCTTTTTTCTTTTATACTGTGTTTTTAAAGTCACTAGAATAGTGGAAATCTGAACATGGATAAATGGTTATTTGATGCTATTAAGATATTATTAAGTTTTTTATAGGAGTGACAAAGTTAACGCACTATGTTAAAAGCCTCTACCTTTTACAAATTCATAATAAAATATTTACAGATTAAATAATACGATGTCTGGAACTGTTTTTTTTTCCGAAATAAGATAAAACGAGAGGAGGTAAGGGGGTAATACTATAGATGAAACAAGACTGGCCATAAGTTGATAATAGTTGAAGCTGGGGAATGGACTCATTATACTATTTTGTTTACTTCTATGTATGTTTTAAATTTTCCGAAGAAAACAAGTCAGAAATTTTTCTCTGAGTGGTTATAGCTCCAGCTTGATATGGTTGAGTTTATGTGTTTTATGTTGTTTTCAGTTTATAGGGACTGTTTTGATTTTTTTTCTTAATTACTGTTTTAATTATGTCAACCATTTACATGGCTATTAAAGTAAAACTATAAAGCATGATACTTCAGAGGTCTCTCTTTCATTCTTATCTCTTTATGTTGTCACCCTCCCCTATAAACCATTTTTATTAGCTTCTGATAGATATTTCCATTGTTTCTTTTCGGGAAAAATATAAACATACACACACATATGTATTACAGAATTTTTCTGCAAATAATGCACCCATATATATAATGTGTGGAAATTATGAAATTAAGTAAAACAGTTCTGGCGTACTGCACATGTCTCGTGATATTTCCAGAAGTAAATTTTGGCCTCATTTACCTGTCCTCCCATATTACAGGTAAACCATACTGTTCTGTTCATTTTCTTTCATTCTATTCATTTCTTTAATCTCCTGCTTATATGCTATAAAAATAGTCTGAAACTGTTGCTTTTGATCATAACTGTATAATAAAGTTGTAAGTCATGGTCAAAACGTCATGGATCAAGTTTAGTAGTCCACCAGTAATCAGGAAATAAACAAACGAAACCATGCATGTGTTTCTATTAATTTAAGTTGATAATTACAGTGCATTAACTCAACAGTTGAAGGCGAAAACCTTATTAGATCGTCTTAAGTGAAACCATTAGGTTATGTTAGATCTGCTTATTCATAGTTTAATTTTGTCTTAGTGTTAACTAAAGTCAGTAACATGTAAAAAAAAAAAAAATGGCATAGTGTGCTTACGAAAATAACACGGGGGGTGTTGCACAGTTGGGGGAACATATAATGCGTGTTATCTGCGAAAATACAGTAAGTCTTCTGCCCCTACAGAAGGTATCATATTACATAAACTCCTTTTTTCACTTTACAGTATGTCCTGGAGTTCACTCCTGAGTACTATATAGAAATTTTTCTCATTTCTTTTACCACTCCTCTACCAACAGACATCTGGCTTGTTTCTAATCTTGCTATTACAAATAATGTAGTGCTTTTCATTACAAACAGCGCAAATGAATAGCCTTGGGCATATATTATAGTGTATTTTTGCCAGTGTAGCTCTGGGATAGAACAGATTCCCAGAAAAAAGTGTAAATTACATTTAACTTTTCTAGATACTAAATGGTCGAATTCTTAATCTCTATAACACTAAGTATTCAAGGAAAGAAAAAATCAAAAGGTAATCTATTTAAAATAAATGCAGAGTTACTGGTATGAAGCAGCAGTGAGAGGAAGGCACCAGCAAATTTGCCTCGCATATTAAAGGTTTCCACATCAATCCATAGGAATAATACTTATTTAGCAGAATGAATTAATAACCATAGCCCCTGTCTTTCAGATACTATTTTACATTAAATGTTGTTAACAATGTTGTGACCTCAAAGAAGAGAATAAATAATCTGTACCCTATGCTTAGAGTGTCTTCTACTTTCCTTTATCCAAGCAATTCCAAAGATCCCATCTCTTTCATGAGGCTTTTTTGGACAGGAAGACGTGGTGAGTAACAAATTGCTCCTCCCTGTGCAAACATGCTTCTACAATGACTTCATTTTACCTCACAATGGGCAACAATATCCCTACATAATATTCAAATGTTATCTGATGCATGTAATTATCAACTTACATCCTTGGGCTGAAGGTTTATTATGTCTACTATATCTGTGACTGTAAGCCTCTCAAGAATGGAGGATATGTCTAGTTTTTTTATACTGCGACTGACACAGACACAACACATTTAAAGAGTCATTTTATAAATGCTACCATTACTGATTATCATAAGCTGTTTAGTCCTGTGGTTAAGATTTTACATGTTTTTACAGAATTATATTTTACTGTGGCTTCTGAAATATACTTGCTAGTATCTTCTTCTTGAAATAAAAATAATCCTAGTAATCGATATTTTCAGTATCCCTACTGCATATACATCAACTACAATTTTTTTAAGTTTTGCTTTAAATATCAAAATAGGATATAGGCCAAATTCAAAATAAGTTTATTTCCTTTTTACTTTAATGTTGCTTTTTCCTTTTAAAATAGCTTTCCTCTGTAAAAATAAGATGAAATTTGCTAAATATATTTAGTGGTCTGCATTTAAAGCTAGTGTAGACCAGACACAAGGGGCTATGACTTACCCTTCTAAAACATACAATACTTACGCGTCTGTGGTCTTTGTACACCCATTAAGATTCAGCACTTCAATGTTCCTACAGTTTTGTGCAAACGTCCTTTATCGGAAAGAAACAAAGTAAAAGCTCCCAAGTGAAATGGGCACCACTTCAGGCATAAAAAATAATAATAACAAACGATTTTATCACTGGCAATACTGATTGTTGGTACCAAAGTGGTTCACCATTACAAATAAATTTTCAACCACATACTCTTAAACACTGATCTTTATGTCAACCAAGTTCAAATGATCTACCTTTGAGTAAACAAATGTCAAAAAAATCTTACTCAAGGTCCCAGAAAGAACCAGTTATGATGGGGAGTCTGGCTTTTTGGGGACAGCACTTGTTCTTGTTTTCTTCCCCAAACCATACCTCCTATTACTGTATATTTTTGTGCTATAAGTAATGTATGTGTGATTGGGTTCTAAAGAGCTTACACATTTAAAAACTATTTTTGTATTTTCTGGGTGAGATGGTGCTATTCTGGGTGGGACGATTCAACAAGAAGATTAATCAACAGTTATGGTCTTACCTTAATGCATTGTCTCCTACTCCAAGACACCCACGAAGACTCAACTTCCGTAAAAAGCCCCCACATCTTTTTGAAATATTCTCCACTACCCGGCCCTATAAGACAGGTAAACAAAAAGATAAGCTATCTCACTGTTTTTGAGAAAAGAACACATCTGATTTTTTTAAACAATTTATAAACAAAGAGAAAAGCTTTCTTCTCATTTTAAAGGCCTAATTTATTTATTCGAGCCCTGGTGGCACAGGGGTTAAGAGCTTGCTGCTAACCAAAACGTCAGCAGTTGGAATCCACCAGACACTCCTCGAAAACCCTATGAAGCAGTACTACCCTATCCTATACGGTCACTATGAGTCGGAATCGACTCAACAGCAACGAGTTTGGTTTTTGGCTTATTCTAAGAAAGCTCTCCTGATTAATCCATCTACCTGAAACATGCCTAAACTCTGTATCTTTATTTTGTTCAATTTGTAAGACATTCTGTATTTGAGGAAATGGTGCCCTATGGTGCTCTTATGCTACTATATACATGTATACTACACTCCTGGTTAAACCACAGCTACTGAAAGATAGTAACTGTCTTTATCATTTTTGTATCCCTTCTGATGTGTTTACTGTAGTACTCTGCACATAACAGAATCTGAACAAAAGCCTGCTGAATGATTTTGCAGGTAGTATTCGCATAAACATGTACAACCATGAAGATTAGAGAATTGTGAAAAACATAAAAATCCAGTATAATATCAGCAGGTATTATTTTAAAAACACTTTCTGAAGACAATGGAAAGTACGTACGACTTTTTTTTTTTAAACTTCTTATCTCAAGAGAATTATTTCCACTGGAACTTAAAAAAGGAAAAAAAAAAAAAAAGACTAATTTAATTCTTATAACACTATGAGGAAGCTATTATTTCCTGGTGAAAAAACTAAGGACCAGATAGCTCAAATTCAGGTTAAAATAATTTAAGCTTAAGCCTTAAGTTTATCTGACTCTAAAACCCATTATGTTTCTCTATTTTAGAGATAACAGACTATACTAAGAGAAGCGGCTCTACCATAGAACAGAAAAAACAATTCAATAAACGATTTTGACTTTATTCTTTTTTTCATTCTCCACAAAAACTATCTGTAGCCTTCCCAAGAACCAAAATGCTCATCTCAAGAATATGTGCAAATACTACCCACAACAAGTTGTAACTCTATTTGTTCTTCAATAAACAAATATAAAATGCCTTCCTTAAATAAGCAAACACAGGTTCACATTTCTACTGAAAAAACAAAAACGAAAAAAAAAACTTTGATTTCATTTCAGTGAAATAATTCTGTTCACTCTCAAAAACTAAACAAGCTCTTGGGAACTTTAAAGGCTCTCATGAAGTTCAGATGCACTGAAATTAATAGTTTTTCTCTCCAGGGAAAAGAAGAAGATTTATATGGCTGGGGTTAATCTGTTCCATGCTGTAATTACATTCTAACAAGAGAAATGGGGCCACACACCACATAATTATACCTCAATATCCCTCTGGAAATCAAACAGGTCAATTCGCTGCCAGTTACTGCCATCCAGAGCCAGAACATTCCAGGCCTATTTTGAAGAAAAAAGGAAAGAATGAGCAAGAGCTGAAATGAAGAGGAAAAGCCAGAAATTTTAAATTCACAATTTAACCTAATGACAACCAACTAATGAATGAAATGGACCATAAACATTTCTCAACCGCACCACTAACTCCCCAAAGACCTGCCTTACTCCTGACCCATACTTTATTCTCCAATTAGATTACCTTATAAATGAACAGGTAGAGAAACTAACAGCTAAGGAGGATCTTAGATTAGGGAAGTTGGGGAAAGGGCAAGGTTGTGGTAAGTATCACAGCCAGAAGCTGTTTTCTAACTGGAAGATTCTAGTTTCTATCCAAAATGAGATAGTTCAGCTGATGAAAAATAAGTCTCTTTCTCTATCCCTAAACTGGGAATAAGATAAGGGTGAAACCAAAGGAAGGGGACAGTACTCCAAATATAGTCGTGTTCAATATGCATGTGCTATCCATAGTATCACTTGGTCAGACTTGAATCTGTGATACTGTAATTTGCAACTAAGAAAAGACACTATCATCTTTCTGTACACATGATAGAGCCTTAATGCTTTTCCTCCTCATCAATTTGCTCACTCAAATATGTTTTTCAATTGATCATCACTTGATTCAGCAGTAATTTTAAAACAGTAATAATACTTCAGCTTCAACAAGCTGAAAGAAGCCAAGAAAGTAAAAAAAGCTTTTCAGCTTTTCAGGATTAGGTGATAAATAACTCCAGTTAAAATCATTCTGTATTTTAATCAGAAAGCCTTTAAAAGTTTGCCTATAAAATTTAAAATGTAAACAAAAGTCTTAATGCTGTTATAAATTTAGAGTATTATCTCTTACTTCAACAAATTAAAACACGGATTCAGTACTAGCTATACTTACAGGTATTTCTCAGAAATTCCGAAAAACAAATTCTTGATATACTTACAAGCACCAGGATAATTATCACACATTCAGCAAGAAGTATGTCAGAAACATGGGGGGTGGGGGGGGGTGGGTAAGCAAGTGGTTATCATTCTAGAAATGTCTGAGGTTTTGTCAGGAATTCAATGTTACTTTTCTTTTAGTGGCCTCATATTTTTCCAATGATTTTTTAAAATGGCTAGCCATGGGAGGCAACAGATAAAAATTTGTGTGTGTGTATGTGAACTTTTTAATGCATTTTTATAGTAGTGGTCTCATACAATATTTGTCCTTTTTTGATTGACTTATTTCACTCAGCATAATGCCCTTCAGATTCATCCATGTTGTGAGATGCTTTACAGATTCATCATTGTTCTTTATCGCTGCACAGTACTCTGTTGTGTATATGTACTACAGTTTGTTTATCCATTCACCAACAGATAACAATTTTAAAGATCGTACGTTTAACAGATCCTTGAGCAAATAAACTTCTGATGTGGTACGGTATTTTTCATTTCTCTATTCTGCTTTCTCCAGCAAGCAACAAATACGCAGAACGCAGACTAAAATTAGCAATGACAGGTTCCTCTCTAGAGCCTGCTTTTAAAATAAGTAAGTAAATAAACTAAATACTTCAAATACAGAGAATAACAGGATAACTACTGATGTACCAACTATCCAGATTTAATGAATATTGGCATTGTGCCTTCCATTCTTTTAAGTTAACACATATTAAGTGGGAAGAGGAACCTGCAATGAAAACAATTAAAACTCACTAAAATCAACATTTCTGTGGTAAGAATGTGCAACTAAACAGATTTAGACACTGCTCTGTGTATTTTATTTTACAATGATTATCTCAGCTTCATATAGAGACAGAAAGGAAAACCCACTCATTTCTAAGAGCAATATAATAAGCATTTCCAGAGAGACCACACAAGTATCAGGGACAGAAATGTCATTTTAAAAAAATCACCCAAAAATTACTGGTTGTGTCCAAAATAGCTGATACGCAGGTTTAGTGTGGCTTTTTAGATGCAAAAACTACATTAAAGGTAGCAAAACAGGGTGAATTTTCGAATTTTCTACAGTAAAGGCTTTTTTGTTTGTTTTTTGTGGGTACGTGGTCATGATGATTTGAAGGGACACTTGGGTCCACCTACACAGATATCATGAAAACAAAATACTCTATGAGATAACCATATTACATATCCAGCACCTAGGACGGTACCTGCTACACAGTAGGTTCTTAATAAGTATTTGTTAATGAATGAACAAACAAAAAGCCATTGTTCAGTTTATTAACAAAATGACAATTGTAGGTACTTACTCATTTCATTAATTATTATATATGTGTTTTACCAAAGAGATCAGGAATGGTTCATGAAGCAATTTTCTAATAAAAATAATCTTACACTTTATATCAGTGGCAGTTAATAAGATTATGATGTCTCAGCATTTTGTCATCAACATCAACTGACAAAAAATGGCTAAGTGTAACTTAGAAATTGACTCTGGGGATGAAATCTGGTTTTCTCCTTCATTTTTTTTTTTTTTTTAATTCTAGCAATTATCTTTTGAGGGAAGAACAAGGGACAATAACATGAAAATTGGACTTTTATGCGCCACTCTTAAGAGGCTTTGTTAATGGAACAAAGCCATTTATTAAGAAATGATTACCAACAGTTAAAAATCAAAATGATAAGAAAGGTTAACAGGGCTTCAGATTATCTAAATCTCATTTAGGGAGGCTTGAAGCCAGAGTCTACTTAAATAGTTTTGTGATACGACTGAAGTCAAAACACCCCCTACCTAGGGAAAATAGTAAAGGGACAGATATTATAATTACAGACAAAGAGTTAGCTCAGTAATGTCTCTCATTTTAGGCACTCTTTTAATTAAATCTTGTTTCTGTTATGATTAAGGTAAAAATGAGTTTCTACTTAGGAAAACATCTGTTGAAAGCATATTTCCTGTTTCAAAATATATAAAGAGAAACATAGTATTATTGGACATTTAACTAGCACCCTATATTTACAAACAGAAATGAGCTTTAATGATTTTTTTTTCAACCATTTTGCATAACCATGAAAGCACTAAAATAAGAACAAAGTTCTTTTAAATGATAAAGAAATCTAGGCACAGCTCATCCAAGAGAAAATATTGTTAAAACCATGAATCTATCACTTTTTGTTGGTGAAAATATACTTAACCAAACATACATTCATTCCACATGTACAGTTCAATGACACTGATTATGTACTTCACATTGTGTTACCATTCTCACTATCTCTACCCATATTGTTTCATCACCATTAATTTATACTCTTTGCCCCTTAAGGTTCCCATCTATGCTTCAGATAAACTATTGTCAGTCTGAATTCATATAGATAATTCTTTATAATAGTGCAATGCTCAAGGCAAGCATTCTTTATTAACTGAGCTAAACTGCTGTTTATCTCAATGGATCCTGCAAGTCTGGTTTCCATATGAATTTGAAGTTCTGCTCTATGATTTTCCTCCTTTTGATCAGAATCCATCTACTGGGTTCTTGATCAAAACATTTAGTAATGGTAGCTGGGCATCATCCATTTCATCTAGTTTCATGGCAAAAGAGGTAGTAGTTCATGGAAGCAATTAAAACTGCAGTCCATTTCCTTTCCTGATTCAAGGGTCTCCTTCTTCCTCTGCTTTTCCAGGCAAATACAGACCAACTGTATCTTGGGTGGCCACCTGAAAGCTTTTAACACCCTAGGTGCTATGCACCAAACTAGGAGTTAGGACAGAAACTCCAAATACAATCTTAGGCCAACTGAGTGGATAGACCCATGAACCACATGAACCACGAAGCCATGACCCTAAACCTTCAAACGAAGAAAACTAATCCCATGAAGTGTTTAATTGTACCTAAGCAGTATCAACAGGTGCAGCCTTTTTTTTTGGCTGCTGCTGTAGTTGTAAAGTTATATGAAACACTTTATTTGCCATTTCACCTTTTTTTTCCTGACATACAGCTTAGTGATAACAACTACATTAGCCAGGTTGTGTAATCATTACCCTTAGTTGATGCCAACTTTTCGACCATTATAGATAAAAATTCACTACTTCCCAGACAGTGATTTCCCCTCTCTCTCCCCCTTCCCATCCCTCTATCACTACTTTCGTTAAATGGAAGAAAGGCCATCTGAGAATTTAGATAAGTTTATTGTATTTGCCACTGTAAAATTCAACACTGCTGAAAGACCCATATAAGGCTGCATATATAATACACAATATAAGTTAAAAAAGGTTTCTTTCCCCTCATCTCCTTGCTTCTCTCCTGCCCTCCCCACAAAATGTTCTGAGTTGTACCAAAAGTAAATATATTTGACTAGTTGCATTGCCTTTGCTCTCACATACTGAGAAATCCTTACGGTTCCTAGTATTGTGTCATATGTACAACATTCTTAACCAGAAAAACACAATGAAATACTATTCCATTATAATTCTTAGTCAAGCCTTTTAATTTGTATGTTTAATGCTTTTTTTCATTGAAAACGTTTCCTCTGTTTATACTATGTAAATTGTTAAGAGTTACAAAAAATTAAATATAATCCCATTGTAGAATTAGGTATGTCATGGTTCAAATAATATCCTTTGAAACATAACAACATAAAAATAACACCTGAGGTAAATGGCTAGCCTACTATACAGAGGCTGCCATCATGAATGCCAGGAAGATTTCGCCTGTATCATGTCAACCATTCTTACCCTGGAGACCTGAGCACAGCGACACAAGGTAACGACATCCAGAAAAGAGAATATTCTAAAAAGAAAAGAGAGGCCAACTTTATTATATGATAAAGTTTCTCTTTATTTTTGTCTATAAATAATTGACTACATTAACACAAACCAAAAAAAGCAGAAGCTCTTTTAAACAAGCAAACACACATACAAAAAACTTGCAACAATTTACAAATATTGCCCATGTAAAACGTAAGAGAGTAAGAAATTTTTCACTTGATAATGTAAGAATAAGTATCATACAAATTTAAGCACTTACATTAAGGGGTGATAAAAGATTTCTAACAGATATAATTTTATAAAAGTAAAAATAAACAATTTTTTCCAACTCTGGATATCAAAAGAAATAGCCTACGGGAGGAGTATCTTTATAAAGAATTTTGCAGTTATACTAAGAAGTTTCCTCAATACAATCAAATACCTTGAGAGACAGTAGCAGGGATGCGGTGTCTGGGGACCATGCTTTCAGGGGACATCTATGTCAATTGGCATAACAAACCTTATTAAGAAAATGTTCTGCATCCTGCTTTGGTGAGTGGCGTCTGGGGTCTTAAAAGCTTGCAAGCGGCCATCTAAGATGCATCAATTGGTCCCAACTGCTTGGAGTAAAGGAGAACGAAGAACACCAAAGACACAAGGAAAGTACTGGCCCAAGAGACAGAATGGGCCACATAAACCAGAGACTTTATCAGCCTGAGACCAGAAGAACTAGATGGTGCCTGGCTACCACCAATGAATGTCCTGACAGGGAACACAACAGAGGGTCCCTGATGGAGCAGTAGAATGATGGGATGCAGAACTCAAATACTAGTAAGAAGACCAGACTTAATGGTCTGAATAAGACTGGAGGTGCCCCAGAAAGCATGGCCCCTGGTCTCTCCATCACCCCAGAACTAAAACAATTTCCGAGGCCATCTCTTCAGACAGGTATTGGACTGGACTGTGGGACAAAAAGCGATACTCGTGAAGAATGTGCCTCTTAGACAAGCAGATATAAGAGACTAAAGGGGCGGCTTCTGTCCAGAGGTGAGAGGGGAAGGCAGAGAGAGTTAGGAGCTGGTTGAATGTTCATGGGCAATCAGGGGCAGAGGGGAGGAGTGTGCTGTCACAGAATGGGTTGAGCGGTTGAGGTCTCGTAACAATGTATGTTAAAAAAAAGAAAAGAAAATTCTGCATAGGAGACTAACTTGAAATGTAAGCTTCATTACATCAATTAAAAAAAAGAATTTTGCAGTTATAAAGAAAAGACGGGACAAAATAACATTGTAATAACTATAAAATATTATATCTCTATGTACTTAACTCTAATTTAGAAATTAAACCTGATTTAACGTAATACATCAATGTTAGTAAACATTTACTGCCTAAAATTTTTTTCAGTTTTTTTATAGAGGTCAAATAAATACTTGTTTTGAAGCAGACCAAGAATTTATTTGCTTATGCCCTGATAAACTCTCTAACACCACAAGCCACCTGTATAAATAGGTTTGGGCTCCCAGAAATAAAGTGAATGGGTTACTTCTCTTGAAGCCCTCTTCACTCACGAACATCCTTAAAGGCCACCTTGATCTGAATAACAAGTTAAGCTCTTTTGCAACTGGAAAAAAGTACAATATAGCATGTGCTTTAAAGATTTAAGAGATTAAAGTTAATTTTGCTTTAAGAATTTTATGACATCCCTTGAGATAACTGGAGATCCTGGAGTGTTACAAAATGGAGGTCAGTAATCTTTTGTTTGGAGAAGACTGAAGGTAGATTTACTATTCCATAGTCACTCTCATCGTAAAAAGCTTTTGTGTCAGCTTAAAAGAACAAAATTTTGTTGCTTAGTGATTAGAGTTTATCAATCACATTTTGCAACTTGGAATAACCTTTGTTAATACTTACATCAGACAGAAAGTTGTGTGCATTTTGTAAATATTTTCAGTTTCGAAGTAGAAGGTGCTTTTGATGACTGGAATAGCTGCATGATGTCAGAAAAACAAGTAACGGCAGCTGAGTTGTTTACAGGAAACCTCCCTACGCTTTCTTATACATTTACTTTCTCTAACAGATTGCTGACATGTTTTGATTTGCTCCAACTATAGAGGTCCCCTTAAGGGACTGATTAAAACTGAGGATAAATTAAATGAGTTGGAAAGGTTAAGCTGGAGCGACACGGTGAGTAAATGTAACTGATCTATATCTTGCAATCTCAGCAAGACACCAGCGAGGGGCAGGGAAGTCCCTGAACAAAAGCACAGAGAACAATTACAGTACAAATAATAAAATGAAAATAAGTAGCTGTAGGCGACCTACAATGATGTCTAGAGAGTCTAGGGCCAGATGGGTGGATAGGAAGGGGGGAAAAGTCTAGTTACAATGATCGGCAACATCTTTGAAAGTTGTGGCTGTAAGCTTTTGGCTTGCCAGAATAGAAAGAAACATGAACACAGAGGGGGTGAGTTTCAAGTGTTTATTCAAAATACACTTACTCGTCACTTATCAACTTTAGTTATCCGACATTTTGCATTTACAGCAATAGTAAAAAAATCTACTATCTGACTATTTTCTGCATTAACAACGTACATCTGGCAGTAATGAATGCCGAGGTGTGAGGTGACAGTAAGAGTAACACTGGCTATGACACTTAAGGTTATGTGTCAACTTTGCTGGGCCATGAGTCTCAGTGGTCTAGCAGTTACGTAAGGATGTAATTTGGCAGTTATGTAATGATGTAGTCATCCTCCATTTTGTGATCTGATGTGGTCATCATCCATTTTCACATAATGCCGATTTTTCACATAATGCTGATTTCACATAACGACCTGGTCTTTGCAACCTAACCGTGTCAATAACTGAGGAGTGGGTATATAGTTTTACCACCTACTATCTATAGGCACTGTTTTAGATCCTGCTGTTGTGTAGCTTATGGTCTAGGGGTAGGAGATAGAACGTAAGTAAAATGTGTGAGAAAATTTCAGGTAGTGAGCAGTGCTATATAGAACATAAAGTACAGTAATATGATAGAAGAATCGTCAGGGAAAGTCTCCTTTAGGAGTAGACATTTGATCTGGGACTTGAATGATCAAAGAAACTAGGATTGCCCAGATCTGGGGAAAACAGCATTCCAGGTAGAGGAAATGGGTGTATGGTGTAAGATGAAGGCCTGTTTGAAGATAAGGAAGAGACAATAAGGGATGGAGCATAGCAGCAGCACAATCCTTTATTGAGTTATTATGTTGTCAGGCATTATTTTAAGTACATTATATATATCAATAGAATGACTACTCACAACAGTCCTCACAGATAGGTACTATTATCATTTCCATTTTACAGATGAGGACACTGAGCAAAGTCCAGAGAGTTAGACAGGGGCCAGACTATGTAAAAAGACTTTGGGGTAAATTGTTTGTCTATGATTTGATGCACTGTGAAGGATACTACATCATTCCTGTGGCACTCCTACCAAAAATGCAAAAACTGAATTTAATCAGGAGGGACATTCTACAAAATAGCTGGCCTGTAGTCTTCAAAACTGTCAATGCTGGTGAAAGACAAAGACTAAGGAACTGTTCCAGATAAGAGAGGTGATAACTAAATGCCATCTGTGATCCTTGGCTGGAGCCTCAACCAGGAAGAAAAATCTTTATTTTTTTCCTTTTACTCTAAAGAACATTAATAGAACACTGGTAAGACTGGAATAAGGTCTGGAAATTAGATAATAGTATTGTATCCATGTCCACTTCTTGATCTTGATTATTGCACTGTGGCTATATAAGAAAATATCTTTGTTTTTTAGAAAATACACACTGAAGTTTTTAAGGGCAAAGAGCATTATGTCTGCAACTTACTCTCAAATGGTTCTCTACCACTCTGTGAGCTTCCTGAAAGCAGTGACTATTATTTCTATAAGCAACATAAAACATTTTATCACTCAATAAATGTCTGCTCATGTATTAAGGTTTAAGGGAAGAGAATTTAAATATTTCCTGACATCTCATAGCCTTCATGAAAAACATTAATTGTTGTCCTACACAGTGAAACCCTCACAGGTGACTAAAATATGTTTGTCTCTTCATTAAACAGCACTGCTACGGTTTTGAAAGTTTCTATTTGTTAGTTTTTATATATTCTTCTCTACTCTCAGACTGCTACTTTTTAAAACTCAGGGGCCCCTATCATCATTACCCTTCTGATCTCATGTTAACTTACTGCATCTCATAATCAAATTTGTGAGAACTATGTTTAAAAAAAAGAAAAAAAAAGAGTAAATAGGGCCTGAGAAATAGTTAGCATGCATCCTCTGAATAAAGCACACATTTGAGCTGTCTGCTTATTTCCTGTTTCTTTGCTTTGTTCTGGATAATTGAGCGGGCCAGAAAACTAAATGATGGATAAGAGTAATGTTGTTATTCTATCCTTTGACATAGGAACACATGCCAATTTGCACCTTAAAATTGAGAGATGGTCACTTTTGATAGTCTTGGAATCTGATCACATCATTTTGTGGTCTATGAGGAAAAAGTAGAACCAATACTGGTAACACACACCTTTTTATAGCACTTACTATATGCCAGGGCACTCGTCTAACCACTGTACATATATCAACCCATTTGACCCTTATGCTACCTCTATGAGGTAGGTACTAGTATTATTCTCAATTTTTAGCTAGCAAATGAGAGAACCTAGGTAGTCAGATTATAGAGCCCATGTTTTTAACCATTATGCTTTTAAAAAGAAGAAACACACACACACACCTATCATCTTGAACTCCTGGCAATTAAACTGAAGGAAAAGCTACTAGAAATCATCAACCCTATGAGCTTTCCTGAAAAGAATATGAGATGTGTGCAGAAGAGTTAACATAGCAAGCCCTAGACTGCTATCCTAGAACCTGGGTTTCTGGAGAGTTTCCACCATTCCCAGATGATACTTCCTGTAGAAAACATTTCACACGTGTTGTCACCACTCATTGCTGGAGGAATTAAGTGCATCCTGTGAGACTCCACTGGGAGAGGAGTCTTGGAAGCTTCTGTCTCC